TCAGCATGAACAGCAAAAGCATCTCAAGCTAACAATGGTTATACAGAAAGAGCTCACAAATACGAAGAGGGAGGAAAAACTCGATGCATGGGAAGCATAATCAGATACAATGCTCTATGCTACCAGCCTCTCACAACATTTAGAACACAACACAAGGTGCAGCATTAAAGTAGAAATATATTACAACCTGCCACTGATGACTCCATATGATGACCACGGCTAACTGTAAGAAAAATACAAAGCACAATTCTGATATATCCTCACAATCGGATACATACAAGAATCACCAGATTATAAACTTACTAGTTTCAGCAGACTCAGTAAAACAAACATTTACAGAACTCTCCATCAGAACTGCATAGCATTCATTATACATGATAATGTGTCATGTTTGGTATAAAAATAATTCAAAGAAGCAGAATTCTTTCTACAGCATCAATGTGTAGAGTATGACCTGACACATAAACTGTGCAATGAAAACAACCATCACAAACCAAATTCAAAGAATTAGCATAGAGCTTGTATGTAAAAATTTCTGAAGTAAAGACAATAGCTTTTCATACGTAAAATAAAAGTGAATGAACCAGAGAGAATGGGAGAGATTTTTAATTGTGAAGCAGACACTGCCAAAAATAACAGTGAAGGATGAACAAGTTTTATGAAAATATCAATTTTCTATGTGTGAAATGCCATGATGAAATGGTCAGCATTCCTACTTCATATTCAGGAGGTCTTGGGTTCAAATCCTGGCCTAGAGACCAGCTATCCTGACTGAGGTTTTTTCCTCAGTTCCTCCACGCAAATGCTGGGACAGTACCTTAAATTAGGCCATGATCACTTCCTTCCATGTTCTTAAATTTCATTATTCACTATCATCCTCTCATTCTAGCCTATAAAGTCTGAGCTACTGAAAAATTGCCATTAAATAAATGATATATAATCGATGTGCCAGAAAGTAAAATGACCAGCTTTGATATGGTCTGATTACAAATGACTAAGCTTTTAGCAATTATTCTTACATTTCCTTCAAATTACTGTATTAATTCTTATGTGAGTATGCTTCATTCAGCTATTTTGTGCAGGCAAATAAAACTCCTCTTGGCAGCGTTGGTCTTTTGGGCTGTAACACCATGTGAACTTGTAGGTATATGCAAATGTTTTGGAGAAACTTCCTGCCTCTAAAAAACTTATTTATAAAATGTGCATATAAATAGTGTACACAGGCAGAGTACACAGCTTATCTCACCTGTGTCTATGATGCTCTCAGTAACACCACCAGTCAGCCCAGTTCGTTTTACCTCGTTCACTTGTACATCGGTCCAATAGATTTTGCGATTTGCAGCAACAAAGTCCAGCTGCGATGGAGACAGCACCTGCGGTAGACTGATGGTGGGAATCGTGTGATAGTAGGGCATTCCCAAGTCCACACCCCGGATCTCACTGGCTCGGGAGAAGAGTAGCACTCGCTCGTTCACTGCAATATGGACACAAAGACGCACACACACAAACATAACCCCGAAAAGGTTAGTTTAATGCCAACAACAGTTTTCACTAGGAACTATACCGTTTATTGCCACACTGTATTCCAGTACTACCAATTACCAACACTACAGCAAGACAGCAGAAAATATATGACACCCACCTGTCAGAACACATTTTCTCATCTTGCTTTCAGTGCTCTACCTAATTATATTTCATCACAAGATTAACTTATTAACAGTCAGACTTGCATCCAGAAGTACGTCTTCGAAGAGTCCAGAGTTGCACATGTTGAACATGAAGCAGCTTATTTATGTCATAGTTAGGAGATGGCTCTCACAATGTTAAAGTGAAAAAGAAAAATCTCACTGAAATATTCATGTTGGTGGTGTGTTCTAAAATATAACATGGCTCCAAAAACTTGTCTTTTGGTTCAAAACCCAGGCTGCTGGAATAGTCTGATGAATTTCCAGTCAGTCTGATTACATTAATTAGTGCCAAGTTTCCTTCAGTTATTTCAAGAATAAGGAAAATACTGGTATAGTAAACACAGTTCAACTTATACTGAATAACATCTCCATAACAGACTACCTTGAAATAAAAAATAATCCTGGTCCAAGAAATATACAACACATATTTGATTCCCTACAACAAACTACAAAATATCTATTTCCTGACTGCTTCAATAATTGTATGCTGAACATGGAACTAACTGAAACCACGGATGTGATCTGATATCAGCTAGGTGTCAAACAAATCTAGTGTTGGTAATGGTAGAAAAGGAAACACTAAGAATGTCAATCACTAATAAAACCATATTTCCTCATTTTACAACACCATTAGTTGCAAGACTCACCGGTCATTTAGTAACAGGCTTTCAGGACAACAATACACATATTACAACAGAAACTGTCAATATTCAAACACAAAATTCCTATGTATTAATACTTTCAGAATGTTCTTTGTTGCTATCTTTGTTCTTACCCTCCTATAAATAGTGCTATGGACATGATGATTTTCTTTATACTTTATCCACACAATATAATTCTGACATACATTCTTAGATGCCATCAAATGTATGAAGATCCAATTTCAAAAAGTTTAAAATTCGAAGAAAAGTCTTAAAATCAAGGAAATATGGCAATTGCAACTAATCAAATAAGGAAATTAAAATGAATGCTTAAAATGAAAGTTAGTTTTAAACCATCTGCCCCCAAAGAAAGATGCAGCTAAAACATTTATCAAATTCAAACCATAACTAAATACTCTTAAATACTCTATTACGAAGCGAAGTTATATCTGGTGCAATGCATATGAACACATGAAAATAATTCTGGATGAAGTAAAGTAAAATAAAACAATCATATGTAAATAGTCTGATATCATTTGACATCCTTAAGAAACATACTTCATGAAGCAGAAAAAATAAATCTGGTAGGCCAGCATTTGAGATAAGAATATGTAAGCTAAAGAAACCAGATCAGCAGTTTGCAACAGATATACAAAAGTCTCCTTTTGTGCAATAAAAGTCCAACTGATGCTGAAAGATTCTAAAGAATTACTACAAAAGTCTGCTGAAACCCAATCCATCATATGAATGAGTTATGAGATATTCAGTGTTCTTGCAAGAAACAGGATTCATACAATAAATCCAGAAATGCAGTTCTCTCCCTAACTTTAGTAACATTATGGACCTGAGAAAAATTCAATACTCCTGCAAGAGACAGAGAGACAAAATAGAGAAAGAAAAAGGTTTCATACATTCCTAGCATAATCAGGAATAACAGTCCTCTCCCAGATTTCAGTAACATTATTTCACACAGAACTATAATATTTGAAGCATTTCCCATCGGCATGGTGCATATTAAGGTTCTAAACCACGTACGTTAAAAAAATATGTTGATTACACTGTAATTTACTCCATGGAATTAACACTTTTTGTTTTTCCAAAAATTACCTTTCTACAACAAAGTAATTTGGGAGATAACAAAAACTTCTGGAAAGAAATTATGATGTTCACTTCACCTCAAATGCTTCAACCTGCACAGTAATACCAACAAAAACTATAAATATGTAATTTAGGTATACATTTCTATGTACAAATTCCAATAAAGGTAGGTTTGCATGTATCACAACTTATACAGGAACAAATCATGCAACTTGTATAAATCCATTAGGTTATGTCTTGTGCTTACACACATGTTCACATACAAATCTGTAAATTGCCTCTTCATATTGTGCCATTTGTCTTCAATATCCTTTTTGTGCAATTAAAGGTGTTGTCAACTACCTAAAAATATCACTGCAAACGTTAACAACCTTGCATTCTTAAGATTTAATTTCCTAAACATTGCTTTCTCTTATTTTCTCTAAAAAAATATAGTTTTTTTATTTTGTCCATGTCATCATTCTAACACAAAAATAACTACAACATAGACTTTTGTATTATGATTTTAAAACACACACAGCAAAAATGCACAATAACACTGACAAAGTTCTGGGAAGAACTGGTTAAAAATAGAAACTGAGTATGCATCAGTTCTGAGACTAGTTAAGTGAATGGTAAAATAATCACATACAAAATGTATAAAGGAACGTCAATACAAGCAGCAACTCACAAAAAATGTATGAACATTTGTATGGGATGACATCTTGTGATTTGTCACTAATGCACACCTCGTACAAGTCCTGTTACATGTGTCCAGATGTAAACCTACCTTAACATTGATTCCGACAACATTAAATTTGCACAGCAGTACATGAGAAATCTGTATACTTTTGCCACATTTATAACTGTTTACATAAAAATGTTTCATATTATGTTTGCTGACAAATTTATAACACATGGCTCTTTACCATATTGTTGATTTACATTCCACAAAAAATCAACTTCGTATACATTAACATACATTCAAAAGAACTATTACCACATAAAATTTCATAATATTGAGATGAGTGACATTAGGGATATATATAGTGTAATCTATCAGTTTTAACTCACGTTAAAACAGTATCAGCTTTGTGTTTTCAGTTGCTTAATCTTGACCACTGTGCAGAATGTCCACATATTTGAGAGCAAGAATGTACCACAGATCAGCAAGTATATGGTTAATTTCAAAAATATAACAATGTTACTGAAACATAAAAATGTTCTCTTGACAGATGGTACAAGATGCAGCATCAGACTCAAACAGCCATCACCAGGTTTAGAACGCCACTTACCAACACAGGTACGCTGATCTTCATTCAGGCGCATAACATGGGGACAATCACACTTGAATGTACCATTCACACTCAGCAGACACAGGTGTGAGCAGTTTCCATTGTTATCTCCACATGGATTTTTCACATCTGGAAGAAGGAAATAATTGACACATTAGAATATGGATGAAAGTTAACTACACACAAAAAATTATCTTAATACAGGTTCCACAATAGAAGATATTTTTTCTTTTGTACACCACTTATAAATGTCCTCACAATAATACAAATATTTATTGTAGGACTCATTTCATGTCAGCTATACAATCCTCCCAACCAATATCCGGTATCTCTGAAAGACAAGGCACCATTTCAGGTATCTGCCGTGTGTACAAAAATAATGAAAAATTTCTAAGTAAACATGGGTCCTTGGACATCTTGTTTTGAGTTAATGTGGTGTTAATGATCTGTTTATTCATATGTGACACAATACATTAGTTGTGTCGACAGCAGAACAATTTTGTATTTATTACCCACACAACAGGATGCAACCATATAAGTTAGTTAAATTTAAAATCATCATAATACAGGGATGGCCAAACGTCACGGTCAGATGGTGTAGAAAGCACAACATAAGTAGGCATTTAGCACAGAAACATTTTATTTATAGAGGAATATAACATTGATATTGCTGAAAATGTTATGGAATCAAAAGCTGTTCATAACACTGGATTGTCCAACTGAATGATTACTGTCATTATCAATACATAATTTCATCTGTTGCCAAGTGCACCAAAGGGCTGTTGGAGTATTACTGGTATAATGCTGTTGTATATGGTGAACCTCACCCTTTCAATTCAGTAACAGAGTACATATGAATTTTACTAAGCTGTTCTTAATTGACAAAAGACCACAATCAGCTGTTGCACTTTGTCAGGTCAGAACTTCTGAGAGGCCAGATGAGAGGGCTATGTCATCCAAAACAGTGGATACTGTCAGTTCAAGAAAGTGTGCACATCTGCAGCATAATGGACTGGTATCCTGTCTTATTGCAAAATTACCCAAGTTCTAGAATTAGCCAATGGGACAACAGTTCCAGACAACTTTCATCACCCACAGATACATAAAAGAAATATGGTCCAATAATCAGTTCACTGGTAATGCTAGCCCACATCATAACAAGAGGTGGATGCTGTGCTACTTCTTCAAAGAAATATGCATTTTAATTAACTTATATATTCTGCAGATCATTTCATCATGGATTTTCTGGACAGTCACAGAAGTAACTCATCCAAACAAGTACTGACATCAGCATTGGCATATTTCTGTGGTCTTCCACTTCATTTCACATCTAACACACAACCACTTGGGTACTATTTTTTTCCTCCAAATTTACATACTTAGCCTCAGGAGGAGATTTATTGTAACACAAGGCAAAGTTTTCCCTTACTTCATATCATACCATTAGCCACTTCATACATTCTCATAAACCCATAATATCACAATGAGAAACTTCTCTACTGAACAGAGACTTATGATGATCCCTGAATACACTGCTGAGCTATGTAGTGAATGAAATTTTTTGCCTATAAACCACAGACTACATTATTCCACATTCACTCCAGACAAACAAGAAATTACATACCTCTAGGCTGTCGACTTGGATGAAGAATCTGTATATCAAAAGGCTGCGTAAGAGTTCGCTGGATCACGCTAATATCAGAGCCATTCCACTTGTTAGCTCTGATAACAGCATTGGTCCGCCAATCTGTCCAGTATACATAGTTGCCAAAAAGTGCAATTGCAAATGGATGTGACAACAGTTCATGGCCTCTCATAACTTCTCGGTAATCAGAACCATCATAAAGTGTGGTGTGAATGGAATCTGACCTACAAGATTACAAAGAAATTCTAAGTTTATAAAGGATCAGCAAACAATTAGAAGCACAAGTTTGAAACAGAATCTCTTTGACACCAAAGTATAGTAAAACTTCCAAACAACAAACAAAGTCCTTTTTCCCAGAGTGGTACATACTTTCAACAGTCATAACTCCAATGCTACCCAGGTCAGAAGAACTGGGTCTCCTTAGTTTTGATTTATGGAGGTTTTACTGTGCATGACAAAGTATTTCAATGAAGGAAGTATTAATAAAGACAAAAGCACTTATAGATGTTCGCAACCCTCACCATCACCCTAAAGGAAAAATCCATCCCACAACCACAAGCCATTTCAATTCAGTTTACATCATCACTGCCTACTTTCTGAAGGTTCATTTTGATATACTTCACTAGCAGCACAGATAACACTTCTGCAGAACATTAAGAAGGGAACAAGAATAACACAGTGGCACAGACATGTGCATTTCTTTCAGAGTTTAACATTGTATTTACTGTATTGACTAACGACCACCGGAGAAACCAATAAAAAGGTACAGTAGGAAAATAATATAAAAGGAATGCTTATGAGCAGACAGAAAATTAAAATGGGTTTTGTTATAAGACAGAGAAACCCAAGTGGATGATATTTAAACATTATCCTTGCACCTAAGTTTCAAGTATCACATGGTTTATGAGGTATTATTCACTTGTGGTTCATTAACAATAATGTCACAAGCTCAGATTACATAGAGTTAAATGATAAGATTATTAGTATATAATGAATTGAAAAGAATATTGAAAAAAGATGTTTGGCTGCAACATTCAGTACAAACTTTATTAAATTTGGTTCCTATATACATGTTACATCCATCCATCCATCCAATGGCACTACAGCCCAAGGTTGGACTTTGGCCTCCTCCAATGTGGGAGGTTTCCTGGTCTTTTAAGTGTGCAATGCACATTACATGACCTCCTATTATTTCATCTTCCTTACACCCAAATATTATCACCACCTTGTTTCCATACACCTTCAATCTATGGTTAATTGTAATTACAGTGGAAGTGTAACACCTCTACAAGCACAATTACAGAAAAGTAAAAACTTCTTCTATTGCTGTTTCTTTCAACTATACACTTAATGAAATCAACATACCTTGCATCTATCCAATATATTCTCTTCAATACATAGTCAAGAGTGAGACCATTAGGCCAAGCTCCATCTGTCACCTGATCCACTCGTACTACAATGATACGGTCTTGTCCGCTCATGCTGCAGCGTTCTATACGAGGAGCATTTGCATCCCAGTCTGTCCAGAACAGCAAGCTGTGGGAAACACATGGCAACACTTTGGTTATGGGATAATGTAGTGGAGGCACCGAATAAATATAAAACTTTTTTTAGATATCTAAATAATGATAAACCTGAATTTCATATGCACAAACTTACCCAAATCTTGGATCAAGTGCAATTGCCCTGGGAGACTCCATGTCCCCAGCTATAAGAGTTCGCCTGAAGCTTCCATTCAGTCTTGCCACCTCTATCTGATCAAGATTACTCTCAACCCAGTACAGATTCTGTCCAATCCAATCAACTGCAAGGCCCTCAGCTGTTGCCAATCCAGTCTGAACCACCACCTCAATGTTGCTCAAAGCTGTGGAAAAGCCAACAGTAAGTTACTAGACCACTTCACCGTACGGTCATCTGGCAGGGCATGAGAATCTATTCACAATTTATTTTCGGCAAATGTAACATTTTGTCTGAAATATAATTTAATTTAAAACAATCAATTCCAAAATGGTAAAAACATACTTTTTCAAATTTTGGTTTCTGCAAACATAACAATATTCTGCCCAAAAGACAAAATTGGATTCATAAAAGTCACTACTAAAATCAGAGACTTCCAAATTGGTACAAATCACACATAGTTCTCAGTGGTAGCATTAACGTTTTCTTTGCAATACTAAAAGAACAGTATCATAGATAACCGAAAACATTCCAAAACACAGAATAATGCAAGACAGCAACACATGACAGACATCCTAACTCTAAATAAGTGTAAGTGCATATGCATCTTACCCACAAAAAAATAACAACCCCAACTTAAATTTATATGCACTATTAACAGACATTCCGGTATCAGTTCAAAGAATGGAACTGATGTTGAAGCTCTAATAAATTGTATAAAATCTGGATTCATCACATGCCATTATGCTCATATTCTTATTCGAGGGGGTAAGAAACAACACAAAATAAAATGTACTGACTGACCAACTCCATGGAGGATGGGACCCAAAAGTTCATTAACATGTTCACAAGAACTTCCCACTGATACCTATCCTGAGCCAGCTGAATCCAATCCAACCTTCCAACCTTACTTCTCTAAGACAAAAAACATGTGCTAGTACCAAAATATTAACTGTAAAACAAAGCAGAAGATGAAGTCCACACAATTGAATCTTATTAACAATAGCATTCTTGCCTGCAAATTAAAAACAGGAAGCAGTGGGTTTACAGCATTCCTGAATGCATGCAGTGACACAACTGTAAACAATAAATACATATCTACACCTTTCATTTCTTGAAGTACTGATTTATGATGCAGCTGAGAACATGTAGTTATCATCTTAAACACCAATTTCACTAACAAATTTAAAATAAAGTTTATAAATTATGATTGTAAATTTATCAGTCACTTCTAAAAATTAAAAATGTGCTGTTTCCATTAACTTTTCAGAAACTATGCAAGTCTACCCATTTGGTACCAATGAGATACTCTTTAGTGTTATGAAAGACATCTGGAATATCTTCTTACACATTCATACTTACAGCCACCGACAAGTGTTCCACGATAGATCTTGTCATCAATAACATCAGTCCAATAGATAACAACTGTATTTGAGTCTTCCTTATAATAAAAGTCAAGAGCAATTGTGTTCTTAAGGCTAGAGATTAAAGCCTTAACATTGAATGTCTGAAGATCAACACCTCTTAGCTCATGTCTATTTGAGAAGATCACAAAAGCTGTTGCATTTTCTGTAAATGTAAAACACTTTATTTCATTATGTTACTTTGTATGATTACACACATATTACTAAAGAAGACCAGGTAGGGTCACCCTATGCATGCAGAACTATTCTACATGCCAGGGTAGCAGACAGGCTTTAATCTAGACCTTTCCAGATGCATTTACAGTGAAACTTCTACCTATACAATAAACTAAATATCACAGAGGTAAGCCCTGACCCTTGCAGACACAAACACAGACTATAATCTTTACATAATAATAATCCAAACACTTCATTATGTACTTGAAATGTGAGTTTCCTTTTGACTTCTTGCCTACTGTATACAAAAAATTCAAATGTTTTTCATACTGTACCTTCACTCCCACCCCATGTGGGAAACTCCTCAATCCAATATTTCGGAACATGGAACATTTAATGTATTCTTACATGCAGGTAGAAAATGGAACGTAAGTAGTCACATTTGTGTGTTTAAATATGACCAATGGGTACGAAAATGGACAAGGCTCAGAGAAATTCCTAACATTCCTCATAACCAGATAGATTTTTATGAACAATCAACATTTTGTGCATCTGCCCAATCAATCCTTCTATTTTAACACAATTCCAACTCATGAATTATACTTGTATATTTACAACAAACTAATGAAGTCAATAATGGCTTTTATGATTCAAGGAACTATGACAATAAAAGCAGCAAATGGATTATGCCAACTGTGACAAGATAATGTAATCAGTGACCAGACAGTAGTCCATAGTGCATACACATCAGGCAAACATTACCTATGCTCTTACACGTAAAACCATCATGGTGGAGCTTGTAACCTTCTTCACACAAACACTTGTGTCCATACTTTAACGGCTGGCACAACTGAGAGCATACACCCCATGCTTCACAAGGATGAGTGGACAGACATGTCACTTTATCTGGCTGCAAGTGAAGATCGCTGGGGCAGTAGCAGATACTGCCAGTAGGGGCATCATGGCAGTAATGGCTGCAATCACTGCTTCGATCACAGACACGCTCACCTGGAAATGTAATGACATATATTCATCAGCACTTGAATACACATAATAAAGTATAACAGAAATTGTAAAATAAGTTTTATAGTCCCATTTTTCTCCAGAGTATCTTACAAGCAGCTGATAAGTTGTATCAAATTTGACAATGACAATCCACAGTAATTACAAGGACAAATGGAGTTAACCTTAAGGAAGAATGTTAGATAAAATTAAGTATGTAGTTGACAACACTTATATTCACCAATAATTGCTATAGTCAGTTTTATTACCTTCCTTAAATAAATCCATCCAAGTCTGTGACCCTGCACATAATTTCATAATATACCAACGTTTTTTATGACTGAGAGCTGTTAGACCCTCTACAAAGACACCAAGCAGAAGGAAAAACCCTTGTCACCTATCCGCAACAGATATTCAAAATACTTGCAGCTATGCTCATACTTGGAGGCCTTCTTCTCCATCCACAGAGCCATTACAAACAGCATTAAATATTTTACATGTTTAAACTACAGAAGTACTATACCATTTACTTGGAAAAGGTGAAAAATCACATATACATTGAAATTTAATAAAAATTCATTTAAATGCCTTACCACAGCGAAGTCCTTCATCAGAACCATCTTCACAGTCTGACTTCCCATCACACAGCCAGTCAACAGGCAAACAGAGGGTTCCATTATTACACAGCTGTGAGGGGTAGTGGCATTCAGAGGGGGCCTCTGTTGAGACCTCTGGTATAGGTGTCTTTATGTCTAGCTCATGTATTGTCCCATCTGTCATAAATAATAATTCCTTTTTAGTTTAATCCATAAGTTACAAATGAAGAAGGCCCCATACCAAATTTCATCCTATCTACCCAGCGGTTCTTCAAATGAATCATGTGGATAGACAGAGCCAGACAAAGAACCCAGCCTGTAAGGTGTTCTGCACTCATGCTAGGGCATGAAGGACATCAAAAAGAAAATGTGTTATCATAAAAATTTAGGTCAACCAAAGGACTTGACCCACTTTATTTCAGATATAACAAAGCTTATATACAGATGCATGCATGCATGCATGCATGCATTCATTCATTCATTCTCTCTTTCTCTCTCTCTCTCATTAACCACCAATTTTCTTACACAAAAGGAAGAAAGGAAGTGTTTCGAAGGCATTACCTGCAAACTGAAAAATAAATTAAAATAAACTGTATAAGAGTACACTGTACCTAACAACAAGGATTCTCTCCCACTGATGTATGCATAAAGTCAGAAAGAACTTAAGAAAGTATGTGAAAACAGAAGAAACAAATCAGTACTACAGCAAGGCAGGAGGAAGAACAGAACAACACAGAAAGTGAAAAGAGACTCAATGAATCATACAGAATAATGATCATTCAAGAATATACATAAATGCACATTTTTTGTTTTCATAAAGGAAAAAAAATATTATAAAAAGTTTAATATAGTTAGTGGGAACTAAAAATATAATATGGAGGAGTCAAAACAAAGAACTGATATGTCAATACATGACAAGAGGAAGAATACCAGGTATGGGAATATGGAGTGACAGGATAACAAAAATTAAGATACGGAAATCGATGAAGAAGTGTGATAGGAGTAGAAAAGAAGTAACTTGTATTCACAAAAGGAAATCCTTGATGGGAAAGAGAAGAAGCTGTAAAATGTTAAGTACATACTGCAATCTTTTTCATCCAAGCCATCCATACAGTCTTCATGACCATCACAAACAAATTTTGTTCTGATGCATGCTCCATCATCACAGCGAAACTCATGAACACCACAGGCATGATCTGTAAATTGACAAATACAATTAAACACTTTGCATCTTGAAAAGAGATCACATGCCACTTCACATAATTCTAGTTCAAATTTCATTACTATTTTTGCTGTACTGAGATATAAGAGAATGAACAATGTCTTGTACACATTGACACTGCCTGTCCCTTGAAACTGTTATAATGAATGGTATACGATATTTCTGAATATCGCCGCATAAACACACTGCAGTACTTTCTTTACACAGTACAAGAACTCCTGAAACAGTATCATTCTGATTAAGTGCAGAAGACCCAACATTAAAAAAGTGGCCGATATAGTATGATGTAAATTATTATGCAACAGACTGCCATATGTACAAAATATACTGTTCAACTTCCATAATTTACCATAACAAATACCTAGGTTATATATTTTCTGAAGTGTCAGATTTTATTGAACAAACAACTGTTGGTTCAATAAGATGCTCTTCTGACTGCCATTTACATACATAATAACCTATCCCTTGTAATGATACTAAATTACTACCAAAAATTGCTGCTTTCTTCTAGAAAAAAAGTGAAAAATAATGTGCAGCAAAGGTTAAACCCAATTCACAACATGGTAACAGTTTTGAACTTGAACTTCATTACTGGCAAACAACACACCGTTTAAAAAATGTTTCATGAAGACTTATCTGATGATAAAATTGTTACAATACTGACAACAACAAATTTATCTCCAGTACCAACACACTTTGCTCACACACTAACATTAATGACAAGACAAAGAGGCTATGGCATATCTGCACTTGCCTGGAGTTGGCAGATGGGCAGAGTTGTCAACTGCAGTTCATTTTATATTTACAGATAATGAAAGAATAGGAAATTTCAAATCAAATATAGGAAATGATTTACAATTTATAGACTCTGATATGGAAAACATATTAAATAGGTGTTTGTTTCATGCTTTTTAGATGAAAAATTCTTGAAATCATGAAACACTTAGAGGGTGCAAAATAAATCATATAGGAAAATTCTGGTATAAAATTCTAATATCTTACATGAAAAAATGTCCTATAGAGTGTCATTTTATATAAATTTCACTGTAAATAATAATGGGAATATAGAAAACATTTTAACCCATTTTTTCAAAGTGCTAACTCACCACAGTATTTTTCATCAGATCCATCAATGCAGTTATTGTGCTTGTTACACACAAGCCCCTTCTTAATGCATGCACTACCATCTGCGCAACGGAACTGATGTGCTTTGCACATTTTTCCAGGTCTAGTTTCATTACAGTTGGCTTCATCAATACCATCAGTACAGTCCACATGACCATCGCATCTACGCGATATCGGAAGACATGGTGGTGTGTCCAATGGGCAGAAAATCTATACAAACAAAGGTAGTGTAATGGTATTTATTTACCTCTCACTAGACCTTCACATCTTCAATTACAACAATCAATTCCGTTTTAACAAAGTTTATGTAACACATAACATTTTTATTCTTTCAAAGTCTGTACATACTGCAATCCCTCACAATCTTATTTATAGAACAACTCATGGCATGAGATAATGTCTTACCAACACTGGAAAGTAATGGTAAATAGGCCAACAATCCCGAGATCAGGTTCAAAGAATCATGTACACATCTGCCTTACATACAACTCTACTCAAACTTTACTATAGTACATCAGGTTTTTACAGCTATGAGTTGAAACAAACATTTAATCTGAACACTGAAGTGGGTAAAATATTAAACTTGCAAAACTAAATGTGCTAAACAATGCATTTGTTTCCTGCTATGCTCCAACTGTATACTCCTTAATTGGTTCCATGACAAAACCGTACAAGACAAAACCGTACACGAAAATTGCGCACAGAAAGAAGCTCACTGTCATGAATGCTCACACGAAAATTACTCACACGGACAAATGCTCACACTGACAAATGCACACACTGATAAATGCTCACACTGACAAATGCTCACACGTACGAAT